AGAGAGGGTGGGTGGGCTTTAAAAATGACAAGAGTTTATGAACTGCAGGCGACGACGACTTCGAGGTAACATCCGGGCCGAGTGCTTGCTGAGGGTGGGAGGAGGGTAAGGATGAGAGTGAAGCTTGGGGGTATAGGTGTAGATAAAGAGGATGGGGGAGGGGGTGTTCTCGAATGATTCTAAGGCACGACGATCTAACTAGGGAAAGGTACTTCGAGAAAATATAGAGTGAAGGATATTAAAACGACATTTTCTTAAGGAAAATTTACGTATTTAGGTATGTAATATCTAATCTCTAACGAGGTATATAAAATACTATAGATATATCTAGATCTATGAGAACGTGACGCATCGGACAAGTCGAAGATAAGGGAAGATATAATAAAACCAGATATAGAGGGAGGTGGGAGGGGGAGGGAAAAAAAAAGTGGAAAAAAAAACAAAAAAAAAAAGAAGTGAGAAAAGAAATTCTCCTTAACGTTATAACTTTCCTAATTTTCCTCGGCTTTGTCCATCACGATGTCGTCGACCTTCTCGCGATCCGCCTCTTTCTTTACCTTCCGCGTCTGACGAAAATCTATATAGACGTATTGATAATTATAATCATTTATAATAAAACAAATACGCCTAGATAAATTTTTAATCTAAGATCTCGGATATTAGATTACAACGTTTCGGGTTTTTCGTTTACGCCGATCGCGAGAATAGTGAACGATGGCGATCCATCTAAAGGGATGAATCCGAATATGAATCGCAAATTCGCACGGTACGTCCAATGCCATTATCTACGTGAAGGTACTAGCGATGGTGATGCATTTAAAACCTATACGGAGATCAAACTCCTAATGGTGCTTCTTTGGACCACTTTTTCTTTTGCCGTTCGATTACGGCGAATTAATTTCCTCTTCTTTTTCCTTTTCTTTTTCTTGTCTTTTTCTTTTCTTTTCTTTTTTTCTCTTATATTTTTTTTTTCCTTTTTTTTTTTTTTTCTCTTTCCTTTTCTTCTCGCTTCTTTTCGTTTCTATGATATCCAAATATAATATCTATCTATTGGCTACGTGGTTAGACATTTTAATTTGGGAATATATTAAATCGTTCGTTCGTTCGTTCGTTCGTTCGTTCGTTCGTTCGTTCGTTCGTTCGTTCGTTCGTTCGTTCATTCGTTCGTACGTTCGTTCGTTCGTTCGTTCGTTCGTTCGTTCGTTCGTTCGTTCGTTCGTTCGTTCGTTCGTTCGTTCGTTCGTTCGTTCGTTCGTTCGTTCGTTCGTTCGTTCGCTCGTTCGCTCGCTCGCTCGTATCGTATAATTAATAAATTAATAATAAAAATCCTACATATATTTATAATAAATTAGAGAAGATAAATTAAATTCGTTAAATCGTTTTTATCATTGGTAAAAAATTTATCAAAATAATTTGGATCCCGAAAGAGATTCGCAAATATTTTGAGCTTTTATCTAATGTTACGTGTAGAAAATTATTTAGAAAACTCGAACAAGTTTACGGTTCTCTAGAAAATACGTAACCTATTTATCAATGTATAGTCAACTATATTATTCAAGACCTTTGGCTAAGGATATAGAGAGATTGCTAAATATAGACGCGAACTTCGGGCCAATGTATCTGTTTTTTTCTATGTGTATATGTTATTTCCTGTGCGTAATAATGGGCGTTTACTCGGCAAATACTTTCTTATATTTCCTTGTTTTTTCTTGAAAATATATATATATATATATTTTCAAGAATATATATATATATATATCCATAAGAACACATATTTCACAAAATTATTTTATAACACATGTTTTTAATAATAATAATAATAATAATAATAATAATAATAATAATAATAATAATAATAACAACAAAAGTACGCCGATCGTATAAATCGATCGTAATTTTTATCAATCTTTACGTCATTGACGGAATTATCATAGAAATATTTACCATGAAAATCGCCCACGTTTGGCCCGTGCGATATAATCTACGTGTGCGTTACAATATAATACGTGTTAAACATTAAAAATAGCATCATCAATCTCTAGCATTAAAATCTCAGTCACTATGTTCTCTACCCTATGTAAATACGTATACTTAAGAAGAGCAAGAATGAAGAAGAAAAAGTAAAAAAAAAAATAAGAAAAAAATATATATATATATATAAAAAATAGAAAGAAAAGAGACACTTTTGACTATCATCGTTCTCTAAAATATTCGATCAACGATATACACAATTATCATCACGTCAGTCCTGAATAAAAAGACGCAGCCCAGACGCAAATCATCAGTCCAAAAGTAATAAATATTTCAATCTATTGCACAGTAATTAAAAGAAAAAGAAAAAGAAAAAGAAAAAGAAAAAAAAAAGAAACAAGAAGAAGTGAAAGGTCCTAAGATACGAAAAGTTATGCATCATCCTTTTTTGTAATTTTTTTTTTGTTTGTTTTCCTTCTTTTTTGTTTTTTGTGTTTTTTTTTTTTTGTTTTTTGTTTTTCCTTCATGTTTTATATATCGTGTGTGTGAGTTTGCGTTCATTGTTTCTTTGTGTATTTTCGTGTGTGAGTGCGATGAATAAGAAAAGATAGAAAGATAGAGAGAAATAGAGAGAGAGAGAGAGAGAATGTGTGTGAGAGAGAGAGAGAGAGAGAGAGAGAGAGAGAGAGATAGAGAAAGAAGGAAGTGCGAGTAAATATAAAAATGAATGATATAGAGTATATAGCAAATAACTGATAGAGTATTTCTAACGTCTAATAATTCATTGTTATCCTAATACGTATGTATGTGTATATACAGACTTGATTACTTGAAAAATACACTTTGACACAGATCCGACAAAATACCTATTACATTATTCAATATATACCTAAAATATTTTCGACCAACTCTTTATCTATAGCTTTCATCAACTGTTCTAAAACACCCATAGCCGCTAAATATTAATTAGTAAAACAGAGACGTGTAATTACGCAAACGGGTAACCAAGGGGAACGAACTAAAGCACAAATAAAATGTTTAGAAATATTAGTTTAGCTTGCGTTATATATCTTCTGCTTGCACCTATCAGAAAACGTTGAATCAGTAATTCAAAGATAAGCGATAAAACTTATAGACATAGTCAATAATATGTACATATATATATATATATATATATATATATATATATATATATATATATACATACATACATACATATATATATATACATATATAAATACGTGTATGTGTGTGTATATATATATATGTATATATATATATATATGTATATGTATATATGTATGTATAATATAGGTTAAACTATCGTATAAAATATAAATAGGGTATGTTAAATATAAAATGTTAAAAGCTAATCAGACTATAAAAACGTACACAAACGCAAATGCCATGAACAAGGGTTGGGGATTAGTATATATAATAATCTGCTGCTTCACTGTATTCTTGTACTGTTTTGGCTTTGTTATATCTGCTTTTTCACAGAACTGTGACTGACTCACTTGGAATTTTCGAAACCAGCTTTAGCGGTCTGAGGACCCTGAAGGAACGTAGCATACGCAGGTCGACGTCCACGTTAGTTTCGGCGAACACGGTCATCGACCTAATCCAAGGATCACTCTAGAATCTATCTGTCCAATCGGACAAAACCGTATACGTACGGCATGGAGCTGTACGAGGAAAGAAGTTTTCACAATATCGAAAGTTTTATATATATATATATATATATATATATATATATATATATATATATATATGTATATTGGGAAATATAAATCTTGAAACTTCTTTCCTCGGGATCAGTTTTCCTAACGTAAAAAAGGTAACGTTTAAAGTCAACGTATAATAATATAATCAATAGGAATCGGTAGCCTCTTATCGCGATGAAATGACCACGGTAAAGTGCATTCCTCTCTATCGTCTTCTCTTCTCGAACTGTCCGCCTAACTCAAAGAGATATTATGAATTTTCTTTCTCTCAATAAAAGAGAAAGTAACAAAATGATAGATAAAGAAAAAAGAGTATGAAACGGTCTTGGACGAAGAGATGAGAAGAAAAATAGAGAGATAGATAGATAGAGATAGATAAATAGATAAATAGATAAATAGATAAATAGATAAATAGATAAAGAAAAGAGAGAGAGAGAGAGAGAGAGAGAGAGAGATAGATATAGAAAGAAAAAGAGAGAGAGAGAGAGAGAGAGAAATGAGAATGAAAAGGAAAACGAAAAATGATCGAAAGAAAATGATAATAAACCGTGAAACGATTATAACGATTAAGAAAAAAAGTTTTTTCGGTTGAAGTAGACGATCTCCTCACCCGGTCACCACGACGAAGAAATCCATGATGTTCCAGATGTTACGTAGGTAGGAGCCGCGGTGGAGGACAAAGCCAAGGGCGAGGATCTTAAGGCTCGCCTCGACGCAGAATATCCCGAGGAAATAGATCTCCGTTGCCTCGAGTTTCTGTGCGAGTATGGTCTTGTCTTGTTTGGGCAGGTGCTCCTCGAGGGCGAGGACCACGCAATTGGCGATGATGGTTAGCAGGACGGCGTACTCAAAGGGCGGCCACTCGATGATGAAGCGGGTGTGTTTCCTTATGCAGTTATCCTCTGAAAGGATGAACAGCGAGGTTGTGCCCTTAGATTTGGGCTGTCCTCCCCCGCCTCCACCCGCCCCTCCGCCCTGATCCCGGCCTGGCGCCATATCCACCGGACCACCAGTTACCTATTAGAATATTCACCCTTCGGATTCCATTTTCTAATATTCCTCGAAAAGACACTTGCCTCTTCTTACCTCCCCTCCAAAGCTAGTCCAGTCACCGCGACCACTCAGTCCGGCCAACTTCTGCCTTCTCCTGTACTGACTCGCGTATCCAGGGTCCCTTTGTGCCGCCTCTTGCGCTGCTGCCAACCTGCAAAAAAGAAATTACACAATTATAACGAGTCCATTAATTAACTGTAACATATTATTATATATATATATATATATATATATATATATATATATTAACGTTCCTTGCCTCCTATCATCGTATTTTCGTACATCTACATACAATTATCGAGATTATCGGAGATTATGAGAAAGAGAGAGAGAGGGGGGGAGAGGGAGAGAGAGATGAAAGTATATTCATGTTACCGTTTGGGAAATTCCAAATGGTATCCTGATAATATCCGTATAAACGCATAGGTAATTCTGTTTATCGATAAAACGATACATATCGTACGAACTTAAGTATCTTTATCAATATATCCACTGAGTTATGCTTCTGTTTCCATGACGGTTAGCTACGAGCTATTTCGTGAAAGAGCTCGTTAATGGCCGACAGGGTCGTATAATGTGGCACGAGGTTAATTAAGTGCATTAACCGAGACTTTTGCGATGAAGGTCCCTATGTGCGTGGCCTTTGCTTTGCAAGAGAGAGAGAGAGAGAGAGAGAAAAAGAGAGAGAAAGAAAGAAAAAGAGAGAGAGAGAGAGCAATCAAGATACTCGGTAATGCAATAACTCACGACAAGGATCCTAATACTACATACCTCCGTCTATGTAAACCTTATACTTTAAAGAGTCTTCTCTTTTAATTATTGTTATTATTTTTTTTTCCTTTTTACGCCTCCTTCCCTTCTATCCAAGTCCTTTATTTACGAATATTATAAATAATAAATAAATAAATAAATAAATAAATAAATAAATAAATAAAAGCATCTATAAGAACTCGTTCGTTTCTTTATGACGTTCTAATTTTTCTTAGACGTACGTACAATACGTATGGATATCGAGACGCGTTGAAAAATCGTATATGCGGAACGTAACGAGGGATATAGCACGGCTATCGTTCGTCAAACTCATAAAATTCAGTGAAGCGATAAGCGTTTTCTCTTGTACCATGACAAATGGATTTTAAACAGCGGCATAAAGTTTGTTTAGCCGCATTGATGATGCACAAAACTCGAAAACGCTAGACGGCACTGGCATGTCGCCGAAGTTTTTCAGTATCCGCAGTGACCTCAACGCATAACTTGGCATACATTGTTTCAAGAAATTGCATATACGTACGTACGAGGAACATACTTTTCTAACAGCCACTTAATGTTTTACCCATACGATATGATCGAATCCGAGAACGGTACTTTTTATTTTCTTCTTTTTCTTTCTTTCTTTTTTTTTTTTTTTTATTTTGTTTATTTCTCTTTTTCATTTAATCTTTTTTTTTTTGTTTTTGAAAGCTAGAAAGAAAGGATAAAATATCCTTGGTGTTATCATTACTGAGGGCGCGCTTGATCGATTGTCACCAACTTAAATTGTCGAAAGTTAATCAACAATATCGCGATGATATTTAATTAAAATTTAACGAAGTTAAAGGAATTCTTTTTGGCGCTGATTGGTCACGACAGCAACAGGTGAAACGACAAGTGTGGATCGCAACACGTAAGAAATATAGCACTCTTTCCACGTTGCACTTTATATGCAACGCCGCATGCCAGTTTTGTATTCGTAATACCTACCTAATCACCATGTACTACGTATACATAAATACATATATATATATATATATGTGTGTATATATATATATATATGTACCCACATGTACGTTGTTATTTGCGAGACACGAATTACGATACGCGAGCATGTATTAGGATAATTACATGTATTCGATCGGACAGATCGAAAGAAATCGTTGGGAAATATTTTTTTCTTTTTTTCTTTTTTTTTTTTTTCATAATAGATAATATCGGTCGGAAATAATACGGATACGTAATCCAAAGATACTAACGAAAAGAGAATGAGAGTTAGTTTATAAGGAAGATGATTGATAATGATTTATGCAGTCACCCCCGAACGCTTTTTACAAGGGCGCTAGCTCGAATAAATGGCTCGTTGCGAGAAGAGAAACGTGCCAAATCGCCATGTTGTCGAGCGTTTGTGTTTGTTTGTTTGTTTGTGTATATATGTGTGTGTGTGTGTGTGTTTTTTATCAATGGTAATTAATACCATACATTTCTCAACGTGCCTTTCAACCATCCCTCTTCATCCCCGTTTATTTCTACCTCCTCGTCATCACTCTCTCTCTCTCTCTCTCTCTCTCTCTCTCTCTCTCTCTCTCTCTCTCTCTCTCTCTCTCTCTGTATTTCCTTCTCTTTCCTCTTTTTCATTCCATCGAAGTAACCATCCTGGTCTGCTTGCTGTCGTTGAATATTCACAATTGAATTTTCCTAGCCGATGAAAGAAACGTCAAGCGCGTGATTTTGTGATCGTGCGAGAAAAAGAACAAACGAAAGAGAAAGAGAAAAAAAGATAGATGGATACAGGAAGAGAGGAAGCAAGCGAGAGAGAGAGAGAGAGAGAGAGAGAGAGAGAGAGAGAGATGGACTAGATTGAAAGAAAGAAAAAAATAAAAAATAAAGAATAAAAATAAAATAAAAAAAAAAGAAAGAAAGAAAGAAAGAAAGAAAAAGATACTATGATATAGAGAATCAGTTGTCTCGAGATCGTCGAAACGATTCTTTTCAAATACTT